GATTTACTTGAAACCGAGCTCAAATTTGTGAATGAAAATGATTTTCATGGTGAAAATAAAGAAAACATATTCCTTAGTCCTAGGTTCAGATTTATCATTCTCATAATTCACATAAGCAACACAACGAAACACTCAAATTTGGCAAATTAAGTGGTTCGCCCGTGAACACAGATTCAGGGCATTTCCCTCCTAAGGGAACAGATTAACCAAATCAACAGCATAACAAATAGCTTCCCCCAGAACTTATTAGAAATCCCAGATGAAGCTAACACTTAATAATATCTTGGATTGATCTAACTAATTTTTTAGACCCAATTGTCTACGGAGTAATATCAGTTTACAGCTCAGTTGATCAACCCTAACTCAATCCTAAACTCTCGATATTAGAGGAAGTATTGGTTAACTCTCCCCCAATTCTATATATAGAGAACATTGTTTTTCAATCATTTGTACTTCATGCATGAGAACATTCTCAAAGAAAAATTATCGAAAAATTCAGCCCAAGAAATCCTCGAAGGGGGCTTGGCCGGGCTTGCATTAAAGGTGAATCCATGATGGGTTCCTCACTTCCTTGCAAAATACCACTACCACGCCACATGTGGTGGACAAAAATGGAAGTTCAACTGCCACATCACATCTATTTAATATAAATATAAAGTTACCCTATTTTCCCTGTAGGTAGAATCCTCTCAAGAAGCATCCTAGCTAGAAGCACTAAACTGTCTATTTAGTAAGGACCATTCTTGGTGTACATCAAGTCATGCCCCTTTTTAAACGAATTGTTTATGTACACAGGCAACTAGAGGGGTTTTGTGTACAATTTGTGTACAACTTGTGTACACTAAGAATTTTCCATTTAGTAATCCTCTTCACACATATAAAACCACCTGATGTACGCACGGGCCGATGATTGGACATTTGAGACTGATCTAATCCTTCCGCATCAAGCTCAAAAGTGATTGGTCAATGATGTGTTTGGCATTCAACGCTTAGGCGGGTTAGCGGATAACGAATTATGTTAGAGGATTGTAAATAGCAAATTCAATCAGCGGGTTTGACTAGCGGAATAAAATGACGGGTTGTCAGAAGATGTTTGATAATTTAGCTGTTTGGCCATGAAATTAGTAGAAAACGTCAATTTTCAAAACGCCAACCCAAAATTTTTCTATTAGCAGCGTTTCCATTTCAACTATTTACCAAACATCTTTTTCACTTATTGAAAACGCTAAAAGTGGTCTAACCGCCATTTTTCGGTAGAAACACCATTTACCAAACAGTCCCAATACCTCTCGATTCTGAGTAAGAAGTTGACTCTGAACTTTATCGTTTGAAGTGAGACAAAACACGGATTGTGTGACTACTTGAACTACCAAACATTGATTACGTGAAAACTCTCACTAACTCGGGGATTAGAGGATCTTCATTTGAGACAGAACTCTCAAATTCTTCTCCTTGATGATAGGCATGGTCTGGTCCGGTTCCGGACCGGTTCTAGTATGTCTCAGACCGGCCAGTCCTAGAGTTGGCTATCCTAGAACCGAGACTGGTACTGGGTATACTGGTCCCGATCTTGATTTTTTTATTTTTTATTTTATGTTTTGAAACCCGCCCAACCCCTCCCTATTATGTGTTAGTTATGAACGAATTTATACTTATTTTAAAATGGTTATAAGCATTTGAAATACAAAAATGGGACCTAACGGAAATTGGAAGTAGCAGGTCTAGTCCGGTCTCGAGAACGGAACGATTCTTGTACGGATCGTCCCGATTCATGGACCGGATTCAACCCTACTTGATTGATGACTTGAACTCAAAACCTTCGCGAGGATGAAGTGACCCACTTGAATGGTTGAAGCACTCGCACTTGTCAATACATCGAGATATCAGATATGTAATTCTATCCTAATATATTAGTCTGACTTTGATATTTACCTAAGGTTACGTTCCATCATACATATAATCAATATGGGACAATATCTTCAACCCTCACAACTAGACAGCTTGTTTAGATCGTGCCAATTGCTAACTTTTTTCTCATCAGTGTCTATTCTTCAATCACTTGTATTTCATGGCTATAGATTTGGTGACTGTGATACCATATTACCATGTTAGTTGAACTCTATGTATGATACACAGTGTCCTTTCATTTTTACTTCTAGCTCTGATGGAAAAAATTATTCCGTATATTGCAAGAATAAACGGAATTTGGATATATGATAAATATTTGATACATAAGCATTTGATATTAAAAGAAAATTAAGTTGACCGCTTTATTTCGGAACAAATGAAGTAATAATTAAAATACCGTACGTACCTTTCAAAAAAAATGAAAAAATCATTATATTTGCCCCCAATATATATTTTTAAATTATCATTCTTTTATGACTAAATATAGTACGTAATAGCAAAGTTGTGGATTGAAAAAATTAAAAGTCAAGATATTGCAAATAAAACAATGATGAAGTGTATATTTTTTATAAAAATTAAACCAATAAATAATACGTAAGGAGTATAATATAATATATACTCCCTCCGTCCCATTTATTTTGTCCCGTTTTACCTTTTCGGGAAGTCTCACTTATATTGTCCCATACCATATTTGGCAAAGTTTGTGGGACTCTAAATCATTCTTACTTTATTCTTACTTTATCAATTAATATCAACCACACAAACCCACTTTTCTTAATAACCGTGTCACCCTCTTTCAGGACAATATAAATGGGACGGAGGGAGTATCATAATTACTCATTGTTTGTTTTCACAAACATTATATTTATTGAACATATTCCTTTTGTATGGCTCAAAAGGTAGTAATGACTAAATACAGTGATACAAATGATTTCACGGAAACTATAATGAAGTATTTAAAGTATACGTAGTATTAATTTTGAAATAGAAACAAAGGTAAATGAAGAGTAAGAAGTTATAGCTAACCGTTAGAGGATATTATAATTTTGCTACAAATATTTATGTGACGAATCAAATTTTAAGGACAACCAAGTTTGACGATTTCATATATGCATCACTAATTAGTTGTCCTAGACTCTTCTTTTACTAAAGTACTTCATGTAATTATATAAGTAGTGGTAAGTGGACCCTAATGCCATGCTATTATTTTAGGAAGTACATATTTCCTTGTCTATTTATTTTCTAGACAATGAATGAAAGGGGCACTCAGCAATTCACCAACTCTTATCCTAGTCTGAGAATTCTCTTCTTTCTTTTTACGGAGTAATTCTTTGTGGAGGTTTCCACTCTCATATAGTGGAAAACTGGAACGTTGATCCTACATGTAACGCATTATGCTCTTAATCCCATTTAAAGATAGGGATAAATACCCATCTATGAGTAAAACTCATCACAATTCTCAAAGTATGACTAAATATGTTTTTTTACCACCATATGACTAGAGAAGATTTTAAAACATGGCATCCGTATAAATAAAGAGTATTTGATGACTAAAATGACCTTAAAAACAAACTCACGTAGAGGATATGCAACTCACGAACTTAGCAAATTTGGAATGAACATAAATAATACACGGCTGTAAGGATAATTATAGTATCATATTTGGAAAAAAAACTTGTAAGTCATATTTTGAGAAAAGTTAGAACTTTTAGTAACATGTGAGGTAAATTTCTCTTAAAGATAACTACTTATTATATTTCACAATACATTTGTTTCCACAAGAAAAAGTAAAATAAAAAAATGATCAAAATAAGATATTGTTACAAAGTAACATGAGAGTAACCAGAATATAAACACCCAGGGTAACCTGATTGTGATGCCAAATTGAGTGTTTTTGTTATGTATTTTCTAGATATTAGAATGTAATTGCTAGTAGTACATTTTCTTTAAAACATACATACTTTCCCGTCTCGGATTTGGATTGTCTTTCTTACTTTTAGAGTCACATAGAGTGCGTGGCTATTACGGCCACATGATCCAACTTTGGGATCCCGGAGCTCTCCTCCATGTGTTAGTGTTACCATTGAATTACACAAGGTACCTCTATTGTGCGGCTGAGGATCCAAGTCTCTACGTCTGGTCACTGCATAAGGTATTGACCTCAAGTAATATGTTTTATACAGTATCGAAATAAAACATTTGCGAAAATATTTAAAAAAAAAAGTATTTCTAGAAGGTAAAGAAAAATTTGATTTTCTTAAATTTCTTAAAGATGAATCTGGAAGCTTTTTTAAGAGATAGGGGTGTATAAAAGTTTTTGTGTGTGGTATGGATATATTCTCCTCAGCGAGATATTCTTCGTAGTGAATTAAAACGATTTGTTTACTACTCCAATTAATCTTTTCCGTGAGGATGTTATGTCCACATCCAAATCTCTTTGATTTGATAAAATTCCTAACTTTTTTCTTCCCATACGTAGTATTATCTAGGGAGATCTACCAAATAAGTCCTTGAACTTACATAAAAAGTGCAAATCACCCCTTTTTATAGGAGGCTCTGTCCGGCCGTCGTCATTTGGGGAGGTTACCAGTGGAATTTTTTATGACATTTTGTGAAAATCTTATTCATTAAGTCTAGTTTACTCATACCAAATTTCAGATAAAATTCAATCGGGAAGGCAGTCAAATGAATTTTTGAAGATAACTGCGCAGTTAAACAACGCCATTAGAAAATCATTTGACTGCCTTCTCCTCGATTGAATGTTTAGCTTAAATTTGGTATGGGTAACAAGACTTAATGAAGAAGATTCTCAAAAAATTTCATAAAAAAATTCCACCAGAAACCTCTCCAAATCCAAATGGCGACAACCGAACAGAACCTCCTATAAAAGGGGTGATTTGCATTTTTATGTAAGTTCGAGGGCTTATTTGATAGTTCTCCCTATTATCTAAAATCTGATTCTTTAATCATAGTATTGCTGTTGAGATTAACACATCTACCATTTCCCCTCTTTTGAGATAAAATTAAAGTGCTCAACTCGTTAATGAATACTCAAAGTTCTGAAGAGGACTTAACCAGTGAAGAGTCCATTAAACTATTAAAGTATAGATAATTAGGCTTCAATTCATATTTACAGACATCTTATTGGCATCTCAAACTGAGAAAAAGAGGCATATAGAAGATGCACAACCATTTTTGCTCAATCAACATATATTCAGGTTGAGACAATATTGTACAAAGCGTAATGGAGAAATAGCAAAAAACTAATGAGCCAAAGTAAAATAAGAAACTTGTTTCGGTATACAATTGCTTCAGAAGTAACCTTCTCACCGTTTGTGTGTGTATATATATATATATATCTATATCATTTCACAAAATCGAGAACAAGAGCACCAAGTGGTCCTGAATCCTGATACCACCATGATTTCCAGCTAGTAGTTATACATGAAAACAAAAACAAAAAAGTATTATGACTAAGGAAGGGTTCTTTAATGAGAACCCATTTTAGCAGATTCTCTCTTCCCTGCAGAGAGATGCTGTTTTCTACAGATTGATAGTTTAGCTGCATTTGGATTGCTTGGAGTGTGCCATCATATTTCTCAAACTCCACAGCCCAGTCCTCTTGCTTCTTGCCCTTTCATTATTCTTAGCCTTTTGCATGATGACAAGAACATTCTGCAATAGCCATAACAAAACTGAATTAGTACACATTTTTATTTTATTTCTGGGTTTATGGAATTAGTATACATGAAGTCTAAGGGCTTGTTTGGTTCAGATATTTCGAAGAGAAGGGGATGATTGATTTTTATTCAACTAATTTATTCCTATTTAGAAAGTTTTTTATTTTTTACCCCATTTACATATTTACCAGCTTCTACCTTACTTTTTTATTACGATTTCATATTCTTTGTCATTATATTTTATACCCTTTTTACTTTTCTTCTAAATAAAAAGTATAAATATTACCCACCCTTTTCCCCCTTTCTAAAATTGTGAATCCAAACAAGCCCTAAGAGTTCTGTGATTTGGTAGGAATGTTGTTGAGGTTGATGAGAGAACTTACTCCCAAGGGACATCTCCAACAAGCATCAGATCACCATCTTTGTCTTCATAAGCAGGGGCATATTCTGATCCTTTGTAGCCTTCTCTCTCAGAGTAGTCACCTATGGTGAGTGTGAACATGTTCTCCAGACCTCTTAACAATTGTGGATAGCTTTCATACATTTTCAGGTCAATTTTCCTGAGGTAAGGGGCTCCATCCATGCTGACTTTCACATACATTGCACTATCACAGCCCTCATCTCCATTCTTTGGCTGCTGCCCACTGTTCTTCCTGTAAGCTCTCACTGGTGGCCACCCAATTATCTGAGCCCTGCATATATTCATATAGTTTAATTAATCTGATATCTCAAATTTTTCATTTTCCCAAAGCATGGTCTATTCAAGAATTGAGGTTCCAGCTTAAAAATTAAGTTCAAGTCCTAACATAATATCAAATCCCAATATTGATATGTTTCAATATCAATATCAGATTACAGACCTTGTTATAGAAGATAAGACAAATTAAAAAAAAACAATTTTTACAAGACTTCTTTCTACTAATCCTCTTATTTGATTAAAGATAAACCATGTGTGACTTACTTGGAAACAGGTATTGAGGAGTGGGCATCACAGTCAGATCTTGATTCACAGTCTTCTTCCGTTGGTTCAGGTAAAGCTCTCTTCTTGTTCTTGTTGGCACTTGACACCAATTCCCTAACACATTCTTCTGTGCCAGGCAACCCAAGCCTGAGCTCCGTGTCTTTGAGGTTCAGATCATGATCATGATGTGCCACACACCCTTCCATTTCCCCAATTCCTTAAAAAAGAAAGAATCTTGAACTCCAAGAATCAAGATTTAAGAGAAAACCCAGAAAATTTCCAGAAAGAACAGATGGTTTAATATCTCGGCCAGTATAGGACAGATTGAGAATCCGAGAGATGGGAGAAGCCTCTGCTTTTCGAATGTCCAATAAAGTATGAGAATGAATGGATGATGCAAACCTGGAATGGGGGTGGGGGTATTATATGAAGGAGCACAAGCCAAGTGATGAAACAAGAGGTGTCCTTTTTCTTAAAGACTATTGCACAAAATTGGGACAAAGTCAAGGGAAGGTGTCGGGGGAGTGAGCAGCAAGGTTGGGCAAGTGCTAGCGATGGTGAGGGACAAGAGTGGGACAAGGGTTGGCCGCCCAAATGGAAAAAGAATGGGTACTGAGTGGGGAAGATGTGTGTTTGGGAGCAAAATCCGGGAAAGATTGACGAAACACAGAGGAGAAGGAAAAGATGGGATCTTTTCACATTAATGCCAATGGGTTGTTCTATTAACCGAACTTATCATTGAAGAAGGAAGGGAGGAAGGAACCAGTCAACAAGGAAGAAGGCTCATAGGTCCGTCAAATCGTGGTTGGGCCTTGGTCGAGTCGGTCAAGAATAGTTAATTGTTTTTAAATTATTTATTTATCTGAAAAGTTTTATCATGTATCATCTTCTAAGCAAATCTTTAATATTCTAGATTAGAAATTAGAATTGTTAGTAGAATTTGTTATTACTCCGTACTACGTTAGGATGTATACGAAGTATCTTAATATGTAGATTACAAAGTTATATCAATTTTAAAAATCTCGATTTTTAAAATTGATATAACTTTGTTATTTGTAATTTGGTTTTTATAAAAACAATATCAAAATTCATGATTTTTTATTATCTTTTATATGACACCAATATTACATATGTAAAAATAAAAAAGAATTTTGAATATATCATAGATGGAGGTTTTTTTTTTTAAAAAGAAATAGGTCCAAGCTTTAAAATTAACATCTCATGATTTTATAGAGTAATATCATGTTACAATTAGGATACAGTTTATTTATTGACTGAAAGTGTCAATAAAAACATATTAAGTTCTAAAAAATTATTTAAAAACAACCACTCAAATTGAATCAAATCAAAAAACATAAAGACACTAGCCAGCCAGTAGAAATTAGAATTGTACTCAACTCATGAATCTCCTAGCTACTAAAATAATCTTTTTTTAAACTGATATAACTTTTTGATTTGTAATTTGATTTTTATAAAAAGTATCAAAATTCATCAATTTTTATTATCTTTCATATGAAACCAATATTACATATGTAAAAATAAAAAGAATTTTGAATATACCAATGATTGAAGTTTTTAGGCTCATTTTTTAAAAATAGATCCAAGCTTTAAGATTAAGAGTAATTTCCTCCACCTACGGTGGTTTGCTTTGGGGGAAAAAAGTTAGGAGACAATTTATTTATTGACTGAAAGTGTCAACAAAGGCATATTAAAAAAATAGAGTGGTTTTTTTGTTTGGGGCTCCCATGAAATGATTTTCAACATGAAGTCTGCTAGTTTCGCTTGTGAAAAACATCAGATTTTTGGAGAAAGTAAAAAACTCAGTTGGTGGTTGTAGTTAACTAGAGTTAATAGTTTTTTGAGATTTTTTTAAATCAATCTTGATTTTGCAAAAAAAATTATTTAGCATTATTTTGAGGGAAAAAACTCGATATTTTTAACCCGATACGCTAGCCATTCATTGATGGGATAAATGTCAGAGAACATTTACCGAGTTTTATTAGATAAAAAATAAATGTACAAGAGAAGAAGGGGACTAGGCCAAAACCTCTTCCAAGAAGGAATACTTTCTCGAAATACATGAGACAACATAGCAAATGAGAAAATAAAAGTATGGGAGACATAAAACCTGACCCATAAAATAAAAATGGAAAAATTCCAAAAAGAAAATTAAAGACTAAGAGAAAAACTCGCTAAAATGTTATGAGAAGCACTTTTAGTAAAAAAAAAATAAAAAGGATAAATTTTTCTTACATGGGTTAGCTTTAGTAAATTTAGGGGGCTAATAAAGCAATTCCCTAAGGTAAGAATATGTTTAATACCTCCAAGTGACCATTTTCATATATGGGTTAGTTTAATAACTCTAATCAATTCCCTTTAGTTAGAATAGAATTGCCTAACCTATAGGTATGGTAATCATTTTCTGATTTTTAAGTTGTACCCATACAACTTTCAAGATATCACTATATTTGTAAACTCAAATTTTCATAATTTATCATATGATTCATACTATATATAAGTTTATAATTGAGAGAGCAGGTTTACACGTAAAACTTTGTCGGTAACATATCAATTACATAGACATAGCTCATGCTCAATTATCTTAATTAGAAATATAAAATATACTGTCATATTCTAATTCATAGATATATGCATCCTTTATATCAAATACTCTTCATGTCCCTTAAAATTCTTTCCACTTACCTTTTTGGAACGTCCCAAAAAATTCATTACATTTTCCTTTTTGGAAAGCTTTGTGCGACTAACATTAATTTACCTTTTTCCTACTCAACCACAACTATACATTTTCACTTTATTCACTTTCTTAATTAAACTCCGATCTAAGTCAAATCGCGAATAATTTTATGAGACGGGTTGAATGTTTAAAATTCTGAAACAAATATTACTGACCCCCGAACATGGAATGCCCGAACATGTATTGCAACATAAACCTTTGATGTTGACTTTCTCAAAAGGCAACGTGCACACATTGTAGAATTATTGGATAATATCACATTCTAATAGATCTCAATTTCTCTTGAAGATATAACTGATGTATGTTAAAACAATAACATTATAACCTGAACTAATGTATTTAAAGTAATTCTTTCATTTATGTACCATTGCCATGAAAAATTGAAACCTAAAAGTCTTATAATGAACAAAAGTACACATAGAACATATCAAGGAAGATTATTAGATCAAACCAAGTCAGAATTCGACAGTTCCAAGATACACATAGAACAAACATGTATTACACCAGTTCAGATCAAACCCGACTAGATCAGATCTAAACAGACCCAATCAAATAGACTGAACTCAAAGATTCAATCGAATTGACATGCGAAAACCCACTCTCTCAAACATAGATTAACACAGTTGTACTCAAATACAATTTAACTAGACTCCTACTAATAGAAAATTTTACTCAAGCACAGAATTAACACAATTTCACTACTCCTCTTATACACAATTTCTCCAAATCCAAAGTTACATGTTTTTCATTATTCCATATGATTTCTTCACCCCACTTTTCAAACTCATCTCCCATTCCATCTTCAAACAATATCTTTCGTGTATCAACGCCTCTAAAAGAGAGCTACACAACTATTCTTAAAATCATTGTTCTATGATTTTCACTGCTAAATTACTTATAATCAAGTTTTGATAAAAGAATCAAAATCATATGATTCACTAAGACCTTAAATACTCAAAACACTAACCGTAGTATATAAAAATCTCCATTTATCACTTTTCAGTGCCTCTTTGTATCCATTAAACTTCATGCATACCTTTTTTAGTAAGTTAAATATTTAAATATGTTAAAACAAAAGTTAGACTATTTAAATATTTTAATAAGTTAAACTAGATAGATATAGTTCACCGAAACTGTTCAATTCAGTTTAGAATCAAAACCTTAAAAATTGAAATAAGGATTAAACTAAATTAGTTCCATTCATAATCAAAAGTTGAATTGAAATGATTATACTAAATCTAAATAATGTTATTTAATTGGGATTTCAAAAATTATACTCCCTCCGATTCAAAAACAAGTTCCAGTTCGGTTTACGATGCTTGACTGACGATAAAGCAACTTGATCCCTGTTCACACTCGGATTATTTTTAGTAAATAAAATTTACATATTAAGAAACTACATTAAAACCGCTACAAAACCTGATCAAGAAAATTTCAATTTAATAAAAATTTGATATATATAATAAAAGATTAGGAATGACTTAAGTTGACTAATGAATAGTGTCGTAGAACTTGTTTTTGAATCGGAGGGAGTAATTATTTTACAAAGGCTAACCAATACTCCGTATTCTCTCAATATTATTTAGAATGTTTTTAATTGGATTACTTTCAGTCTCAGATCAGGTCAAACCAGAACATATATACCAGATCAAACTAGACTAGACTTTGAGAGTTGTAAAATACACATAGAACAGATAGCTACTAAATTAGATCAGACCCGTTCGGATAGAACTATATTAGACAAGATTTAAACCAATCAGATGAGAAAATTACAGACCAATTAAAATCACTCCTACACGAGATTTATATGTGAAAACACATTTTTGTAATTTATTTATATAAAAATGGGTATAATTTATCAAGAAAATGGGTATACCAGTTTAAGTCTCTGTGGCTTATTGTTTTTTTCAAAACTAACTACTCACTATTATAATTTATTTATCTAAGAATGGGTGCAGTCAATTTTTTTTGAAGATATTAGTCCTTATTTTTCTTAACTGATAATTCAAATATATTTTGACAAAATAATTTTCTTGAGATATTAGCCCTTCTCAATTTTAAATCTTACGACAAAATACGTTGTTATAGTTTTGAAAAAAACAGTAAGTTACAGAAGAAATCTAATGTTCAAATGTAGGCATTGAGCAATTTCTTTTTTGTTTACATAAGGATCGTTGAAAAGACGAAACTCATTTGGATGCAACTGAGAGCTATAAAAAAAATTCTCTTTTAATTGGAAATAAAAACCGAGAACATATATAGATATATATAAGTTAAAAATAAGACTTAATCAATAAATAAGAATTTGCATTATTAACCAATGTTATAATCAATTAAATAATTGACTTGCCATTAGTTACGTAGTATAATAAATCATACATATGCCAATGCGCACACTCACATATATGGTCATATATAGTAAGATCAAACAAATCATTTTATCCCGTGCACGGCACAGGTAAAAATACTAGTAGACTAATAAACTAATGTAAAATAAACTAATAACGTATCTTAAAACTTACTCATGTTTGACTTTTTTGGTCATTCCTATTAAATTATAATTAATTATATTTCTCTAACGAAAGTAATTATAGGGAAATTTTTTATTAATACGAAAACTAGATACA